TGAGGCACGCTAATGCTGCACTCTGCAGCAGGACAGGGCAACTCTTGCTCTCCCCAGACAGCACAGTCCCATCCTCCATACCCTTCAAAGTTACTGATGACTTAGTATAGATTTGGAATGAATTAATATTTTTGGGAAGAAGGGACAGAGCATGCAAGCATCATTTTTGTTTGTACTCTACTGTTACGGCTCATACGGTTTCTACAACCTTTATGCATCTTATCAGCATCCCATCAGAAACTGAGTGGTATTTCCACCTCTACTCAGCAATGGCAAAGCCCATCTGCAGTGCTGGATCCAGTTCTGGGCTCACCAAAACAAGATGGACAAGAGAATACTGGAGGCCAATGAAGGACCACAAAGGTAATTAAGAGATTGGAGCATCTCTCATATGGGAGGGACTGAGACAGCTTGAGAAGAAAAAACTCAAGGGAGATCTTATCAATGTGTATAAACACCTGACGAGAGGGAGTAAAGAAGACAGCCAGACTCTTAGCATTGCCCAGTGACAGGACAAGAGGCAGCGCACACCATCTGAAATAGAGGAAATTACCCCTTTTTTACTGTAAGGGTGACTGAGCACTGGCACAGATTGCCCAGAGAGGTCGTGGAGCCTCCATTCTCGGAGATATTCAAAACCCGGCTGGACAGTCTTAGGTAAACTACTGACCCTGCTTTGAGCAGAGGGGTTGGACTTGGCAATCTCCAGAGGTGCCTTCCCACCTCAACTGTTCTGTGACTCTGTGATTTCACTTGCACTGTCTGTTCTTATTTCTTGCAGCTTTCATTTGATACTACAAGATATGCAGGTTGGAGTGCACTTCTCACATTCCACTCTTTATATTTCTGCGAACCGGAATTATAATTTATATATTTTAACTGTTAAAATACCTACTTTAAAGAGAGAAAAACAAGCATCTGGGACAGCTAGTAAAAAAACATTATTTCTAAAGCAGTGATGTTCATCATTAAAAATGTCTTATTCAAAAATAAAAATATGTTTTAAGATGAAATATTGATTTGTTTTTGCGGCAGGGAAAATCAGCTGTAGCACAAGACATCAGAATTAAATTACCAGGTTTCCCATTGTCCTTCCTTTTTTAATTGAAATTATGGGATCTTTAGGGTGCTTCTTTTTTTATATGATTTTATGGAGCTTAGAGTAATAGGCCCTGAGCTTGCTTAATGATAACAGGAACTATAATAACCCAAATAACAGAGTAAAATGCAGAAGACAGATTTCATGGTGCCTTTATCTGAGACGCATTTATTTTAACCCTTTGGTGAGTGCATAGGATGCTTTTCTGAACGCCACATTACACAGTAGGATAATTGCAGTGTTTTGAGCATAAATGTGTACTTTGTTCTGTCTTCATTTTGTGCACATCTTACTTCATTCTGCAGCCTCTGAGGTGAAAAGCATGCCCAAACAGAAGCAAGGGAAGAGAAAAGAGGAAACCAAAGTGAATCAATTATTGCCTTCAGCCTTGAGAAACTCATACATTCAACTTGTAACTGCACATGTGCTGTGGTGGTTCAGCTCTTCTCTGCACACTGGAAGTTCACTCAGGAGGTGAATGTCAGTTGCCAGAACATACTAAAGGAAGTATCTAGCTCTTATTCCCTGTAATGGGCAATCATATAACCAAAAAAGGCATATATTTAGAGTATTTGGAGAAACCTCTGGATAAACGTCCCTTCCCCAGATCTACTGATGTTAAGCAACTCATTAGTGAAGAGTTAAAAAAACCGCTATGAAATATGTTGTATATAGGTTGCTATCATGCAGGTGTCTTTTGAGGAGAGGCTGGCCTTTTGATAGCTTAACTTTTCACTTGAAAGAATTACATTTAGCACTGGTGTCAAAAATTAAAAATAAAAAAGTGGTTGATATCAGAAAAGAGCAATGAAGATATTTGGAGTGCAGGGAGCATGTTTTCCTAAGAAAGATTTTAGAATTTGATTATTTAGATATAGAATCAGAGATGTCTTGTGAGAAATGTAGCAATGGCCAAAGAGATTCAATGGGTAGATTCACCATGGGGGGTGCTTTTCGCTCACGTTTCGAGAAAATCGTAGGAGTCAGTGACCAGCAGCTCAGAACAGAATTCAATTTACATTGATAAATAGCTTGTGCAGGTACAGAAGGGCATTTCTATATTACTGAGGTAAAACTATTAATGGAAAATGTTTTGGATAAATGTCCTGACAGAAAATAGAAAGCAGTCTCACAGGAAAAGCAAGAGAAATTCAGCTGGCTGGGAAGTCTATTCTGCAACTGGACAGAGAGCTAGGAATCTGTGATAGTGCACTCTGTTTCAATTAAAGACATGAGCCAGAAGAGCTTCTAGTCTTTCCCATCTTTGTGTTTTATGAGTACAGGTGTTACAGGCATGCAAAGTAGCATATCTTAATTGTCATCTCCAAATCAGACCAGTTCCACTTGTGTTTGGTTTAGCATACTGTATTTTGATGAAGTTTTCATCTGATTTCCCTTAAGGACAACAGTAGACTTTCCACTCATTCAGGAAGTCAAGCTCTTATGCTATTTCATTTACTGTGGGTGTAGAGAATTTAAAGTGTGAATTAAAACAATGGAAAAGCCTTTGTGACATGACACAGGAGAGCAAACCTAGAACTTTGACAGTACAAATAGCTGTTGACTGCCAGAGCTTTACTCATACACCAGTAAACTTTGCTCTGGGAAGAGAAAGCTGCACAAAGAACTGCTGGAGCCTAAGAACTTCAAAGCGAATGACATGGAAGTGCAAATCAATAGAGTAACCACATGAAACTTTTCAAGGGTATTTGATGCCTTCATGTGTTCATTTCAAAATGTTACCTCACAAATTCCCACTAACCCTATCTTTCTCGAACTCTCTAGCTATTTCCTGAAAAAAAATCTAACAGGTCCTAGGGAATGGTTGTTATAACCCTGAGATTTTGTCAGAAGATGCTTGGAGAATATGAAAAGCTTCATTTGAGCTGATCTTCTTTTTAGTACAGTACTTCCCATGGGGAAAAGGCACAAAACTTCTGTCGTGTGCCTGTTGCCTAAGTTACTCCAGTGCAGTCCTGCT